TCTCAGAGCTGCCAGGATTGTGCAGTGTACAACCTGCACAAATGTACAAGTGGTTGTGCTCTCTTTGAGAACTGTATTGCTCATGTATCTTAACTTGGTTTCTCTATGCACCCTGGAAAGTTTAGGACTACACTGGTAATGTTTGCTTCTTTAGACCCCTTAATTCCATGCTGTGTTTGATGTACTAAAATCACTGATAAATCTGCTCACTGTTCTCAGCAAAGTAGCTGGATTCTGGGTCTAAGAGATATTTATTCTCCCCCTTCTTAGTCTGGATTTAATTATTTCAGCTCTCTGAGAGTCATCGTATGTCTTTTAGCTCCATGTTCTGGCAGGAGGGGAGGCAATCTGCTCTTAAATACTGTGTGTACAGGCATAGAGGATAAAAAGTCTGACAGATTCCTGTCTCCTTTGCAACAACATGGAGAAGTGGTCCTGAATACAGACCCTGGAGCCAGGCCGCCTGGACTCCTACCCTAGCCCAAGTTTGTTCACCTATAAAAAGAAAGGTATAATGGCACCTATCTCAAAGGTCATTATAAGGATCAAATGTGTTAACACACGTAAACTACTGACAATAGTGCCAGACACAAATATTCAGTGTCAGCTATTACTATTCTATTATCTTCTATTTTTATTTTATTATATTCTATTATTATTCTCCTGTATTCTTATGCTCCTCTATTAAGTCTATTTAACATTTCTTCCTTATAATTGTATGTTACCTCAATTTAGTAATAAAACAGTAGCTTGGCAGGAAACACTGCATGTGCATGTGTGTGTGTGTTTTAACTCTTCAAAGACAGCCCCAAAATAAAAGGTCTGTAGAAGGATGTATTACTAATTCCTTATTGCTGCTATAACAAATTACCACAAACTGAGTGGCTTAAAACAATACAAATTTATTGTCTTATGGCTCTGGGGTTTGGCAGGGCTGCATTTCTTCTGGATGCTCAAGGGGAGGACCACTCCTTTCCCTTCCCAGCTTCCAGAGGCTGCACACATTCCTTGGCTCAGGCTGCATAACTCCAACCTCTGCTTTCTCTGCTTCTGTTGTTACATCTTCCTCTCTGATTCTGACCCTCTGTTCCCGTCCCCTTATAAGAACCCTTGTGATCACATAAGACCACCCAGATAATTCAGGATAATCTCCCCATTTCAAGATGTTTAACTTAATAATCACATTTGCAAAGTACCTTTTATCTTATAAGGTAACACAGTCAAAGGATTCCAGGGGTAGGAAGTAGACATCTTTAGGAAGGCATTATCCTGCCTACCACAAAGGGAAGTGCCTTGGATGATCTTCTGAGAGCATTTAAGTCAGTGCTATCCAAGTGGAGATGATTCTGCTGCCCCAAGGAAACACGTGGCAATGCCTAGAAACATTTTTTGATTGTCACAACTCTGTGTGTGTGTGTGTGTGGGGTGTTACTCGTCACCTAGTGGGTAGAGGTCAGGGAAACTGCTAAACATCCTACAATGCACAGGACATCCCCCTCCCCCCAACAAAGAATTATTCAGCCCCAAATGCCAGCAGTGATGAAGCTGAGAAACCCTGATTTAAAGTATATGATTCCCTGAAATCTTAGTAAGATTACAATACAATGGAAGCCAGATTCAGGATTTAGATTTACATACAGATGTTAGAGAAATCATATTCAAGGTCTATAACTCCATGTTTTTAACCATCTTATATGGTAAATAAGAGATGAATGATATTACTCATACTTTAACAGTAGGGTTTTGAACACTGCCTTAACTTGTTATTTATTAAGTAGTGTTTATTTTAGATCTGGTGTAATCTTTCAGAGTGATGCATTTCTTATAGAGGTAAGTTAATTTAAATCATGTATTATGAACATCATTTTCTGTATATTCTACGTATTTAAATTTATAGATGATCAGATTTAAAGGACCTAACACCAAACAGATTTCAAGATGATCCACAGCCTTCTGCGATATTTTATTTTTGTCTTGGTGAGGCCTGACTTCTATCCCTTGACTTCAAATGATCAAACAGAGAAGTATACTTGACATTCCCTTCCATGGGGAGAAAGATTTAAGGTAAAACCAACTTTCACTTAAAATAAGCACCTTGAGTATCAATACTGACTTTTCCAATTCTCAAGAATTTCTGTGCTCTGATTTGAATTCTTTCAGTCTTTTAAAGTAATCTATAGAATCGCTGGTAGGAGACGTTACATTTTTTCAACATCTTTCTTTTCCTTTCCATCCACTCCACTCTTTTCCCTCTCTTTATTACTTCTCCTGTCCAAGATTTTCTGTAGAGTTTTCTTAATGTGTAGCAACTTCTAAAAGCAATAGTTGTGTTTTCTGTGGCAGAAAATATTACCTAACCAGTAGAGGACTGTGTGTGTGTGTGTGTGTGTGTGTGTGTGTGTTTGTAGGGCATGAAAACTGTATCTGTAAGGTTGAGTTTCATCATTTCCCCCCATCCAGGAAGGAAGGCATAGCAAGCACAAATATGAAAGTATTCTAGCAGCTTGTGAACCAACAGAGCAGAATGAAGAACACACGGCTATTCAGCAACCTTGTTCACCACTGAGCTATTTCTATTGTTTACATTCCTCTGCCAAGATACAGTTCTGTGAGATGTTTTTTTTTACATTTGATATGATTTCTAAGCTACAATTAAAGGATATACAGTTTAAATACATTTTAATTAGTTAAGATTTGCCAAACATTATTAAAAAACCAAAGCCATAACCCCCATAGACATTAAGTCACATCTCAGATTCCAGATTCCAAATGTCACATTGTTCGTTGGGTGGGTACCACTAAAGGAACCTGCCTCTCTCTGGGGTACAATCACTTGTAGGATTACAAAGATATGCGTTCCTAGTCAAAGGATCTAGTTTCTTCAAAAATAAAACGCAAGACAGGGAAGGTATAGCTCAGTGGTAGAGTGCAAGCTTAGTGTGCACAAGGTCCTGGGTTCAATCCTCAGTACCTCCATTAAAATAAATAAACCTAATTACCTCCACTGCCAAAAACAAAAATAAAAACAAAATAAAAACAAAAATTCAAGAAGAAAGAAAACAAGAGTGAAAGGGAGAACAAAAGGCAGTGCCTGAGAACCAAGGAACTTAGAGATAATTAGAGGTTAACACATAAGTGGGAGTTTCTCACAACAGGATAGCATGAGTGTTTACAACAGGGCAGCTGGGACAGAGAAAGGAGGGATAAGATTTTAGGAGGGAGCAAATGGTAACTTTGACAACTCAGGCACGTACCAACTCTGGCACAGTGACCTGGACACTTCCCAGCCAAGGCACCTGTGTGGCCATTTCCCTAAGGAACAAAGAAACTTCTCCGTTTCTGGGAAGGCTGTTGGGTGAGAAAGTGTATGTTATTATGCTGAGCAGCAAATGGCTGGTACCTCCAATCAAATCTCTCTCAAGCTACCCACATCATGTCCCAGAGTGTCTGGCCAGGGCATCTGAGATCCAGTACAAAAAAAAAGAAAGGCAAAAAAGGAATACAGAAAAACAGAGAGTACGTACATACTCAGGACATTAGACTATAACTGAGAATCCCACAGTATTTTGCTATCATTATTTTGGAAAGGTCAGTGAATAACAAAAACCCGGATAAGAAAATCCAACAGAAAATGGTTAAAAATCATTTGTGATAGATTATTTCTTGGAAGAAATGTAGACATTAGGAAGGAGGTTTAGAATCCCTTGTCAAAGGGCGTAAATATTGTGTTCATATCCAGGGCGCTATGCTCTGCTAGCACCTTTTCCCTTCTTGTCAGAATGTTCTTTTTTTTTTTTCACCACACTCTAATTGATGTCACCTCTATAGCTCCATTCACTTTCCTGTACCTTCTCTGATTTTTCTTTTCCTTTACTTCTTAAGTTTCTGATTTCCTCTTAAGTTCAGCCCTTATACCTCTTCTCCTTTTAGTAACTACTGCCAAGGCTTCAGCGATCACCCCTGGCTGACAGATCCTAAATCCACCCATCTTTACTTTCCTGCTGTCTATCCTCAGTTGGATGTTACCCTTGACTTAGATCCAACAGGTCTAAATCCACATTAATCACACCCTTCCCTAAAACAAACTCACATCCTAACTTCTCTATTTCCTTGAGACTGTGTGCTGCCACAGTCTCCTGTGTCCCCCCAGGCTTCAAACTTGGTGCCATTTTCATATTATTCATGTCCTTCATTTAGCAAGTCAGTTCTGTAGAGCCGCCCAGTTGTCCCTGCACACTGTCTCATAGTTCTCTCATCCCACCATGGACAGCCCTCCTTCACTCACACCTGTATTACACAACCAGCACCTACCTGCCCACCCTCCCTGGCTTCTCACTCAATCCACCCAGCTGACCATTTCCAAAACTGTCTTTCAACTTTTGCCTTATTAAGAGATCTGTTCAAGAATATCTCTTTTCCTCTCTGATTACAACATCAAGACTAATCATGAATTTTCAGAGTGCTCCATAACATGTCCCTATCTATCAAGACTAGGTTTGCATTGCTTCTCAACATGATTTATTCCTGTCATTCTTTCTCTTAGTTTGGAATTCCCTTTTCTGTACCCCTGCTTCCAAATCCTAGGCCTGTTTCAAGACCCTCCTAAATCTCAATTTCTCTACCTCTTTACATGTTCCCATGACACTCCTTTCTTAGTGCTTGCCCCTCTGATGACTTGCATTGAGAAATTTTTAACACCATTTCAATGTGCTGATAGTCTTTCTCCAATTACATGGCAAGTACCATAAAGCTAGAGATATAGTTCTCTATCTCTACCCTACCATTCACTCCAGGGTTGAAAAGAGTGATTTTTTTTTTTAGAATAAATAAGTTTATTAATCTACTACTTAAATACATTTTGATTATTTTTACTATAAATTAGTGATCTATAATGAATTAGAATATAAACAAAGCAAATACAGAAATGTATCCATTAGCATTTGATTTTTAAATGTTATACATTAATTTTAAAACTACTAAATTTAAAACCATCTTCTTACCTGATTTTATGCAGCCTGATGACTTGCAAATGCCATCTAGAAAAAGGAGGATATAGGCATAAATATTTGCAATACATGTTTTCTAATTTCTCCCTATCTTTTGTCATTTTAAAAACTGCCAGTTAAATCATAAATTCCTTACGGCTAGAGCTAAAATCTGAGTTTTTATATACCATTGATGGTAGTTAGAAAAAAAACTAGAGAAATAAAATAAACAAATCTTAAATTTAAAAATTTTATAATGAATAAAAATATATTTATTATATCATCTCTACCCGCTAAGCCTTAGGTCAATTAAATTGAAATAATAAGTTATTTTAGTCTGGTAATCATTTTTTTTTTGTCCATTAAGGAACCAATCTTTTCTAATTCTTATTGTAAAAAACTCCTAAGACTCAAATTAGACCTCTTAAATTCTTATACAACTGTTTAGAATTTCAATGACACAACAAAAGTTGACTAATTGAAGTTGGCCATAAAACTGTGAATACTTTAATCAAATAAAATTATACATTAGAATCCTCATAAAATAAGCATGAGCGCACTAAATATACTTGGCAATTAATAACTTAGCGCAAACATAAAAGACACTGTACTTTAGTCAGAGTTAATTGTTTTGACATACTGATGTTACAGCTTATAAATGAATCTTTCTATCACCATCTTTAAGTGTCTCTCTCCTTAACACATTCTTTAGTAGAAAGGAAAAGCCTAAGATGAAGATTCTATTCTCTTCGGCATGTTTGTGGGCACAGGCGTGGGAGTGACTCACCATCGTAGGTTGCATAGAGAGCTATCATTGTCACAGCGATGATGGTGAGGAGCAGGACAAGGACAGAGAGACTGATCTCCAGGGGGGTCCATCGCTGTTTCTTCTTTGGCTTTGGAGTGTTGATATCAGTTATATCCATCTGACTTTCTGATCTGCCCATTACCTAAAATCTGCAAAAAAATTTTTTTTAATTTTTAAAATACTAATGATAATGTATTAATAAAGTGATAAAAAGAAGACTATAGCCAGATAAATTAGAAGCTGGTCACAACCTTTTGAGTCTTTTTGATATATCTGTGAAGGTCCAAGCAAAATTAGACAGGAAGACTCGGTTAAACACTCATGTCGGATTCCTTCAGCAGTTCATAAGCAAATAACTGCTGCACCATCATTAAAGAAAGTTTTAAACTCACCCTTCTGAACTTTGGACAACATCAAAGGTGAACTTTATATCTTGCTCCACTGGCTTCCTTTATAAGCTTGGAAATCAACGACTAATTCTTCGAGGTTTTGACTAAGCAATAATTTGAAATATGAATACAACTAAAAACAAAAAGGAACAAACACTTGTGGTAGTTCCTCTTCAGTTTTAAAAACAATTTTTAATTTTACAGTTCAAAATTACAACTACTGCTGATACGGGTGTCTATTAACTGGTTAGACAACATTTTGAAAGCAATCACTCATTGGACCAAAAGTCTTGGTTTACAACCTGGGATGAAAGATATTAACCATAAACAATGTTTCTTTGTGCAACTGAAGAAGAAAAAAATGATTAAAAAATCAAGCTGGCAGGTCAAGATAACAACTGTTAAGATACTTTATTTAACTTATTTTTAAATTAATAATGCTAATACTTCTACTAATAATAGCTGGCATTTACTGAGTACTTCCCATGTGTCACTCCCAGTTCTTAGTGATTTACATGTACTAATTCACTGAATCTTTGTAAGATTCATATGAATATTCCAATTCTATACCTTAGGAAAGTGGGGCACAGAAAAGCCAGGTAACTTGCCCAAACCTACACAACTAAAAACACATTTACAATGAACACATTTCAAAGAACACATTTTGAAATAAAATTGTATCATCCTACAATGGAAGCTACTTTAGACCTTATTGCAGAAGTCTAGGAGGGGAAATAAAAGGGATATAAGCCTAAATATTAAATTTCATCATGTTTCTTTTAGAGGCCTAGTGATACTTTAGCAACTATTCACCAAAGCTTAGAACAGGCAACTTCAATTTTTCTGCCTGACTGTAGAAAAGAACATCGTAAACTAACAGATTAGCTGCTTATATAGCTTGATGCAAATTAAGCATATAATTTAGCTCCTAGATGAAGTAAAAAGCTTAGAGATGCTCTTATACTTAGAAATCTTTGTTGAATACACATAATTTTCTGCGGATGTGTTTTGTGGAAACTGAGGCACAGGATAAAGTAGAAACGGATTCTACATTTGAAGTATAGCCTGGGATACCCAACAATACCTAGGAATTTAATCTCCTAGTGAGTTATTAATAAGTGAACCACAACTAGACTTTAAAGTTCTGGATACAAAGTCTTAAGCATGCTGTCCCCTTGATTACGTGAGGCTATAACCAAGGACAGACTATCAAATAAAAATGTTTTATTAGACCATGAAAACCGTGTCTGCTCAATAAAAGTGGAATGTAATGTACCTGAATGTTAAAATGTCTTACTTAATGGTTATGTAACTCATGTTGGCTTAGTCTCACATCTCCATGGGTTATGATACGGAATTACATTGATCGTAGTCCTTTGAGTTTTAACACTGCAAGTGGTGGGAAAGAAAAGATGGAAACAAACTTAACAATCAGACACCATACAAAGAGGTAAAGAATAAAAAGAACAATTTTCCTACTTCTCCCAGAAGAATTTGAGACTGACTTCAAGAACATCAATATTAATCACATTTGCTTGAGTATTTCCCTTTCCTATTTTTCCCGCTGCTCTAATAATAATACAGAAGACAATCCAGAGAAATGTTCTCCTTATATAATATGACCCATTTCTCTTTTTAAGTTCTTCCTTAGACACAGCAATCAGTTTCTCTAGTAAAACCTGGGGCCAGGAACCAGGGGAACCATGAGGTTAAATTAAAGGTGCTCTTTGGCACCACCAGGCTCCCACTGAGCAAGAAAACTAGTAGCCAAGCATGTTGTTCTCCCTCCTGGGTGACGTCTCCCTGGCTTCTCCTCCTTACCCTTGAGACTGGGATACTGAGGCATCTGAGCTCTTAACAGTTCTATACCTAAGGCAACAAAAATTGTTATCGGGGAAATGAAGGCAGTGACTGAGCTGTTTAGTCCTTTTACCTGCATCAAAAGAATATCATCTTTGAAGCACCTGCTATCTCTCCATCTGCCCCTCTTGTAAACGCTCTGCAAATTTTCAGTCTTTTGCTCCTAAGTGGCACTTTTCAGCAGCACTGACCAAAGCAGAAATGAGGCAAGGTTAACCTTCTAATTAACTTTGACATTCATTTCCAGTGGATTCATTGTTTTTTAAGAAAATGGGGTCAGAATTTAGAACCTCAGGGTGAAACACATCACCACCCCTCAGATACTTGGATATCCAATGCAACCACACCCAAAGCCATTTTAGACAAGGGAAGAAAGGGGACAACTAGACAAAAGAATACCAAAAAATGATAAGGTTGACATTTGTAGTCCCAGATAAAGCAGAATATGTCAAAACATAGCTACATCCTTAAAATATTCCACCTCAATTGGAGATATGTTGGAAAGTTCAAACCAAAACATAGACACTTCCAGAGAAGAGATTAGAGACTGAAGACACCTAACCCAACAAGAACCCTGTGAACTTCAGCTTGACAACATCACCAATAGAATAAGTGACTATTTTGCCTAAGTAGAAACTGAATTTCAAACAACATAAAGCAGCAATTTTTATGCCAGTTACGTGTACACAAAGAACCCAGAGGATAACTGTGTTATTAAAGGTAAGTCTACAAACCAAAGCAATGTTCATCTTGACAACACATTACTACCTTAACATTTCTGCAAGTCGCTGAGGTTGTACTACACAATTACAGTTTGTACTATGTAAACTGAGGCACAAGAAGCAAGAGAAACAGGTTCCACCTATAATGGAGTATAAGCTGCAAAAATACTGAATCACTAAGCTCCACAACTAAAACTAACACAAGATTGTAAATCAACTATACTTAAAATTGAAAAAGGGAGAGAGAAACAGGTTCCACATTTAGACGGTAGCTGCAGAATTTGAGGAGGCAGGTACGCGAGAGAAATTATCTCCTTGTTTCCCAGGACGTTAACTTGTAGGTGTTTCCCAGATCTGGAAATCCGGAGTTCTGGACACAAAGTCCCAACCACATTACTTCCATAAGCTGTGTAGCTATACAACAAGACACAGTATGGAGTCCAAGAAACTGTCAGACAAATTTTTTTAAGTGTTGGAACATAGCAATAAAGCAAGCTAGTCTTAGCCGATATGCCAATTAGTAGCTTCCAAATGCTGACACTGCAAATCAAGGTGCTACTTTTCAGTTTAATAAAATTACCATTTGCTTTGTATATGGGGGAGGAACAGACTTGACCAAGTGGCTAAAGAGGACAGTTTGGTGGCAATTACCCTTACGTCCAAATAATACAAATAGATTGAGACCGATTAAGGAAACTTTCATCCGCAAAAGAACTCCCCTCTACTCCCACCAGCCAACCCTTGTGTGATTTAAGCACTCTATCAGCATAAATTATGTTAAGAGGAAACTAAGGTTCAAAGCAATGTGAAGAGGTGGGATAATGAAAAGATCCTCAGGTTAGGGAAAATAAAAATAGAAAAGTGAGTTACAAATGAGAAGAAAATCCGACAGAAACCAAAAAAGAAAACAAACCTTACTTAAAAAAAAAATCAGTGTCTGTACAGCAGAATGGCAAATTCCCAGCCCCCAAATCAGCCCCGCTGCAATTTGGTAGCGCCGATCTCAGTAACCAGCTATAACTCTCCGAGCAGAGGGTGCAGGGAGCTATGGAAATGAACCTGAAGAGTCGACCTGACATCACTTGCAGAGCCCTCCTCCGGGTCCCTCTCTCTGCCCCCGTCCCTCACTCTTCAAGTCCCAGTAGCGGCTGCTTCCCAGGGCACGCCTCCCTCGCCCACGGCCGCGGGGTGCCAGGCGCTCTGACCGCGCCGGACCTGAGCCGCCGACCCTGCTCCGTGCGCCTCCCGGGCAGCCGCTCCCCGCGGCGGCCTCTGCGCTCTCGC